GTGGGACTAGAACTCCCCGTCTCCTGGTGACTGGCCCAAAGTCACCCAGCTATTTTACAAGCTTAACGTGGGACTAGAATTCCCCATCTCCTGGCCACTGGCCCAAGGTCACCCAGCTGACTTTCAAGGTTAAAGTGGGACTAGAACTCCCCGTCTCCTGGTCACTGGCCCAAAGTCACCCAGCTATTTTACAAGCTTAACGTGGGACTAGAACTCCCCGTCTCCTGGTCACTGGCCCAAAGTCACCCAACTGGCTTTCGCGCCTAAGGCAGAACTAGAACTTATCGTCTCCCTCTTTCTAGCCCGGTGCTTTAACCACTAGACCAATCTGGCCGCCTGGGCAATCGGATGGGTCCATCGACTGTGAGAAAGCAAGCAACAGACTTAGCCGCTTCCCTGAATTCACCAGGCCTTCTAGTCCAGCCCCCTCCTCGAACAGCAGAACCGGAACAATCTCAGACCGGCGACAGGTGTCCGGTCTCTTCTTCAAAACCTCCAGGGATGGAGCACCCCCCTCCCCCCAATTTCTGAAGCCCCACCACCGCGACCCCCGAGCTCTGTGAACGGGGCCCTCCTCCAACCGGTGGAGGGATGGATCGGGGACCGAGGACACCTGGCCCAGGGAGGGGGTCCTGCCCGGTCTCCGGTACCACCTACCTACCTACTTACCTGCAGCATGTCGAGCAACCCCTGCCTGCAGCCTTCTTCCATGCCGTACTCGTCCACGAGAATGCTGCCCAGGTAGAGGAAACAGGAGTGCTGGTGCTCCTGGTAGACGTTCACCATCTGCCAAGGAGAGCAGCCAGAGTCTCAAGGGAGGGAGGGACCCACCGGGAAAGCCAGCGAACGAAAGGGGGAGGCGAACGAGGGGGGCCCCCCCGCAACGGGAGTGGGGACGAGGCTCCGGGCCCCACAGGGGCTCAGCAGCTGACGGAGCTGGCAGCCGAGATGGACAGGAGTCAGGAGGTTGGGGGGGGAACCTGGGCCGGGTCTGGAGGCTGAGGAAGGCCCGGAGGAGGGAGGAAGAGGAAGAGGAAGGGAAGGAAAGGAAAGAAGGGAAGGAATGGTAGGGAAGGGAAGGGAAGGGATGTTGTAATGACGAGGCAGTCGAGGTGTTTGATCATGAACAACTGAATCGTGATGATCTTTACTGGAGTCTAGTCTTGCATTTATACACATTTTTAGTTATCCTCCAACATTGGTTAACTTTGGTTACTGCTTAACTTTCATTACTGTTTAGCATAATAGTAATTAACACAATTAATTATCTCTAGTTAAAGTCTAACCTATGTTTGCTTCCTCTCTCTAATCCTCCTTTAGATTGGTGACTTCGTTTGCCTGAGTTGTATCTGCTTGTAAACATTCCCTATCTGAGGTTTGCCCTCCGAGATTGGAACATTCCTGCAATTACAACTGTACAAGGGGAAGGGAAGGGAAGAAAAAGAAAGAAGGGAAGAGAAGGGAAGAAAAGAAGGGAAGGGAGGGAGGGAGGAAGGGAGGAAGGAAGGAAGGAGGAAAGGAAAGGAAAGGAAAGGAAAGGAAAGGAAAGGAAAGGAAAGAAGGGAAGGGAAGGGAAGAAGGGAAGGGAAGGATGGAAGGGCCATGGTCGTAGGGCAGTGGTTAGAATGCAGCATATGGCAGGTTAACTCACTGCCTATAGCCAGGAGTTCGATCCTGACCGGTTCAAGGTTGACTCAGCCTTCCGTCCTTCCAAGGTCGGTAAAATGAGGACCCAGATCATCGGGAGGGACAAGAGGCTGACTCCATAAACTGCTTAAAGCGGTATATATAAGTCTAAGGGCTGCTGCTATCCTCCCTTGAATGATTCTATCGGAGTATTGTTTCTTTGATATCAGTGCAATTCTTGTCCCGTGTCACCCTCCCTGCCCAGGGCGTAAGGAAAACTATTTCCCACGGAACCGGTCCCCGGTGGCCCCAAAGATTAGGGACCGCGGCCTTAAGGGTTGCAGAGAGCTCTCCATGGTGGAGGAGAACTTAGTAAAACGGGAGTCCTGCAGAAGCGGACTACACACCAGGATCGATCGAGTCACTGGTAGAGCAAAATTCGGAATATTTAATTTAAAACAAAACCCGTCTTAGGGAATAATTCAATAATTGATCGGCAGGAGGAGGTGGCTGGGTGGCTGGGCGGGGGAAAATCTCACCTGAGTGACCAGCGGTTGCAAGAGGGCTGCCGAGCCCTTGCCGACGCAGCGGACGGCAAAACGCAGGCACCGGCAGCAGCGTTCCACAATGCGGTTGTCGGCCCGGTGTTTGTTCAGCGTTTCTGACAGCACCGGCCAAATCTGGAGAAGACCACGAGGAACGTCAACGGCCGGGGAAGAGCGTCCAACTTTGAAGGCTTGAGGACTTCCACGCCCAGAATTCCCTACCCGGGGTCAACTCATACAATATTTCTAGGGCCTTTGGGAAGTTGGTGGCGGAAAGGGAGGAGGGGGCGGCGGTGCAGCGGCTTGGAAACCGAAAGTGCATTCCATCGATGTTTCCAAAGATAGTAACTGGGCGACTGAAGTTTCTGCCGTGCAAAATTCTCACTGGACAGCCTGATTGGTGACTCTGGGCTAGGGAGGTGTCCCATTGGAGGATAAGAATTACGATATACATCCAGGCGGTGAGGGGGGAAGACCAGGGTCAAGGGTGACAATGAATGACGTGTCTCAGAGTCGGCTACACCCGGGCAGTGCCGGCATGTCTACTCCTAATAAATCCTTTGGAAGTTTTGGAAGTTTGGCTCAAGACTTATGATTTAAGGGGGGGGGGGTGGAGGGGGAACTGCCGGAATCCCGACATAAAATATTTCTATGGTTGTTTTAGAGTTGCCAACAGAAAGGGAGGTGGAGGGAAAGGGGTTTGAAAGAGCAGTGAGGCAGCTTGGAAATCGAAAGCGCTTTCCATGCGTAGTTTTTCGGAGATACGAACTTTAGGCGACTGAAGTTTCTGCGCTGCAAAAAAACTAACTAGAAACCCTGATCGATGACTCTGGGCTAGGGATGTGTCCCATTGGAGGATATGAATTACGATACACACCCAGGGGGTGAGGGGGTAAACTGGGGTCAAAGGTTACAACGAATGATGTGTCTCGGAGTCGGGTAACTGTTACCCCAATTAAATCCTGAGTCTTGAGACGAACTTCCAAAACTTCAAAAGGATTTATTGGGAGTTAACACGCCGGCACTGCCTGGGTGTAGCCGACTCTGAGACGCGTCATTCGTTGTCACCCTTGACCCTGGTTTTCCTCCATCCCCCTGGGTGTATCGTAATCCATATCCTCCAATGGGACATCTCCATAGCCCAGAGTTATCCATCAGGCTCTCTCCAGTTTAGAATTTTGCATGGCAGAAACTTCGGTCACCTTATAACTATCTTTTGAAAACATTTATGGAATTCACTTTCGGTTTGCAAGCCGCTGCACTGCTCCCCCCTCCCTTTCTGTTGGCTTAAAAAGACCGCAGAAATATTTTATGAGTTGACCTCCAGCATGTTTTAAGATGGGGTGGACTCCAACTCCCAGAAATTCCCTATTTCATCCAGAGAGGACCAGGAGTGTTGAGGTGGGGGGCGGGGGATTCTGGGAGTTGGAAGTCCACAAAATTGGCGAGGTTGGAGATTCCCCGCCGTGAACGACGGACGGAAACCAACCTCCCAAGGCCGGACCGGGCGCTTTTATAATTTTCCCAAGATGGAAAACGAAAAACTGGGACTGTTGTGGAGGGAATGAACCAAGAGGGTTGTGAAGGTGCGTAGACACACACACACAGTCACACACAAATTGAACACAAAAATAACAGTCACTTTCAAAATAAAAAGCGATCCAGGGAGCCTAGAATGGGCCAGCTATGGCCTGGGGGGCTATAAAATGTCCAGGTTTGCTCTTATACAACCCGTGGGGGACTTTCTCTGCAACCTGGAGCCCTTCGGTGTTGGACTCCCAACTCCCCCCCCCCCCCCAAAAAAAAACCCACCTCAACACTTCTGGGTTTCCAGGAGCGAGGGTGGGACCCGAGGCCCTGCCTGCTTACCTCTTGGATGACTTTTTGACAGGGGTGCGTCTGTCCGTTTTCTACGATGGGGTTGGTGTGCCTGGAAGGGAAAAAGGAAAATGAAAAAGGGGGAAGGGGACGCTCCGGGACGGAAAGCCGGTTTCAACCAGGCAGGGACTGGGGGGGGGGGGGGGGGGGG